GATTGATTTCACAGTTATACAAATAGTATTTACCCAAATGCATAATCTTATGCTTTACGGAGTGAAACGTCATCGTCACGTCAGATTTAAAAACAATACTTTATTATTAGTTAATCTTTATAGACCCGTAGAATATATCAAACTAAAATATAGTTTTAAGAGCTGTCAAACCATTTTTCTGAATGAAATTTGACATATTGAACAGCGCTTAAAACGAGATTTTCACTATAGTATAAAACGAAGTCACTTCCTACCGTCAGTGCGTTTACTTTAACACGCAAACGTATTCTATTTTTAAATATAACAGGGGGCAACCGGGCAGGAGGCTCACCTGATGTTAAGTGATACCGTCGCCCATAAATACTCACATAGCCAGAGGGCTCGGAAGTGCGTTGCCGGCCTTTTAAGAATTGTTTCGCTTTTTTTTGAAGGACTCTAAGTCGAATTAGTTCGGAATTACATCGTTAGACAGCTGGTTCCACATAGTAATGGTGCCCGGTAAAAACTCCCTTAAAAACTCCCCTTGTGTTGTGGAACGACAGTCGTCGAAGTAATAGGGGTGGAATTCTGCCTCGACGTCCAATGATGAAACTCAGCTAAGGGTCCGAACACCACATTATATCCAGTGACTGGCGTAGTCTGTAACTTCCAGAACAGAATTGAAAGTAAGTTAGTACTGTCATCGTGCCGCACCAGGTAGCTAATACTATATATAAATATATAAGTCTATAAGAATCGATATGAGACCAGTACCAGCAATGAATGCGTCATCAATGAGAGTAACAAGACGCACAAAAACTAACGGAATAATCACATCCTGATTTTATCAAAATGTTTCGACTAATTGTTTTTAACTGCCGGTGTTGAGTCGGAAATAGATAACATTAAATTATATAATTTGTTATAAACAATACTATGTTTATTTATATTTCGATATGCCGGGAACGAATTATATTATATTTCGGCCATACAATGCGCAGAGGCGAAGAGAACTTGGAGAAACTGATCGTGGTTGGTAACACAAAAGGCAAAAGATTAAGTGGCCGTTCACCAACCAGTCACCGTCCTCAAAACTGTACACTGTGATTAGAGAGGCGCTGGACAGGAGCGGTGGTAACAGATTGTCCGTTCCAGATGTTTCCCACGATGTTGACCACGATGCTCAGACATGAGCTACCGACTGAAGAGAAAGAGTATTTTGAAAAAGGAACCGTTTTCTACTGGCTGTTTAGGAAAATAATCGCTGAACACTTTCTCTAAAAACCATTTCGTTGCTATCAAGGGAAGAACAGTGAATAAATGTTTTACCTCATTTGAATTTGCTTGAAGAGTTAGGAGTTGTACATGAGGTCTGAGAACTTTTTAACAGTGCGAGCAGTGTGATGTAGACTTTATACAGACGACTTCAAAAAATAAAACTAATAGGATTCTCTCAGAGCTTAATACCAATAAATATAAACAATGTTATAAAAATCTTTTAGTGCATTTTGGAGTCGTTTTTATTGTTGTAAAAGGAATTTATTGTGGTCAGATAAATTGTTTAAAATTCAGCATATACACAACTATACACAGCACATAACACATATACAACATAGCAGTGGAACAAACAGCAAGATTTTGACGGAATTCTCTATAAGCAAGTTACAGGAAAGTGGATCTGTGGCTCCATTTTTCAACCGAGGTGTTTATTATTATTATAATATGTACGTAATACTCTATATTGTGTTGTTAATGGCGCCTGAAGGACCTGATTAAACAAATTATGTACGTACATTAGCTACAGCACAAAATCACGGTTCAACACCCTAAGGTCAATGTCGGTTTGACAGTGATGTCATCGGTGTTTATATAATATAATCTGTGGTCCTGTATTATGGCTCATTAATTTTATCTGGCAATTTGTTATGGTCGTTTTTTGGCATGGTAATGAAAATTTAATATTGAGGAGATGTTACTTGCCTTTCTTTATTGTTTGCAAAATAAATTTTTACTTATTTTTAATATATTGTTTGGAAATTTATCCTTTTTGGTATTTAATTTAAATTACTTAGATAAGACGTAAAGTTAATTTACAATACAACCACAATTTATCAAAGGGTCTAGGGTTTATTTCGTTAACTCGTTTTTTCAAACCAGCCTAAGGCCATAAAAGACAGCTATCGCATCCGCGTCGCATTATGGACAGCCGTTTTGTTAGTCGATGCGTTGAAGGCCTTTCTTTTAAATAGCTGGAGGTCATTTTAATTTTATCTATCTATTTCTCATTTCCATAAAATAGTTTAAGATACTTTTTCTTATTTATACTATGTCTTAGTTAAAGATTTTTGTCCTTATACCCAATCATTAAAACCTTTACGAAATCTATTAAGGTAATACTTTTTTATTCTTCAAAGCAATTAATCATATTTTTTTAATTCCCAAAATAAATTACGAGAGTACGAAGTATTTATATGTTAACACGCGTGTAATGAGTTCCAAGTATCGATAAACCGTGATGTATCAGTCATCGACATACACGCACTGAATTATCGATGGATTGTCCGGACATCACTAGAATTGCAATTAGTACAGTCGTGAATAAAAAAAAAGATTTAATTGAGCATTTAGAGTTAAATAGAGATATATTTGAAATATATGATTTGTATAAATGTTGTATAATACTTTTAAATTTAAATCGGATTTTTTAAAATAAATTGTCTCTGCACAGAGACATAATCTAACATTACGATCTAGCCTAACTTAAGACTAATAAGTGATTTAACATTTAAGAGGAAGACCTCCTTAGTAGTGACTGTAAGTAGTGTTCTATACTATACTCTGTTCTTGTGTACTATTTATTTCTACGTATCCTACTCATCGGCAAAGAAGACAGAGGGTGAAGACCAGAGACAAAGCCGTATAAATACAGATCAATGATTTCTGTTAATAATTAAGAACCATATAATCATGTCTGTACAAAGGTAAAGGAAAGGTAAAACACCGAAAAAAAAATTATAAAAAGAAATGTTGTTTACTAGTGTTTACTAGTCCGGAATTTAAAACATTTTTTCCGAAGTCTCCTACTGTGGGGGCCCTCTTTTGTGGAGTCGTATCGCTACACTTATAAATCTGAGAAAGCTTGAGTGAGCCAAATTTAAAGCAATGGCTCGTACATAAATAATATTGTTGACGACAGTACAATCAAGTTAAAACTTCACGTCCATTCTGTAGAATTGAAAATGCTTTAGGGTTTGTTTTGTTAATAAAACTATAATTTAAATTGTAAAACGATGTTTGAAACAATATAACATATTATTTTAATTTATATTTTTTCGACTACCGTATTAATTTATAAAAATCGAGTATATTTGGAAAATCATTTAGGTATATGTTTTATAATTAATCTTTAATCATAATATTTTATAACACGCTGGGTTGCGGATAACGCGCCAAAGGATGTTTCCTTCAATGAACACAATTTCCTGTTCCTACTGATACTTACTTCCGGCTGAATCTTTTCTATATCTTAGACTCAAACATAGACAATATATGTCTACAAAAAAGATGATATGCTTCTCTGTAAATATATATATACATATATATATCGACTAGGAAAGCATATTTGCTGTAAGTAGACAAAATACCTAAAGTGACTTTTTCCGCCATTAGAATCAGAAAAAAGCCGCATGAATACCTGGGTCCTGTTCTCTACGATGAAAAAAATTACATACGCCGTTGAAAACGCCCGTACTTATATTATTTTTAGCAAGATTAAATGCTGTATTAACCAAAATCTAGTCATTTCAGACATTTTGCACTTACAGCAAAAGAAAATCCATTTTTTTCTTTACAAATACTTACTTCTTCCCATTTAAAAACTTAACGCTACTTACAGCATTTAGCGGCGTGTGATTTTTACATTCGTTTACTTACAGCAAGTTTAGGGAACCTACAGTTTTGGTTTTTTTTACCATTTACGACATTTTATTTCAATCAAACATTACATTACCAATACCCATGATTTCTAGATCTAATCATAATTATAAACTAATCTTACATCTTGAATTGCAATTAAAAGTACCCAAATACATAAATTTCCTGCATACAGCATATTTACCGCCTGTAAATTGATAATATTTCCGAGCGTACATTTTTCTTCCTTAGTTACAGCGTTTTAAAGGTTTGTGATTTAAAAACTGTTTGCTGTAACTAGCCAAACACGTACTTATAGTAACTTTGGATAAAAAGTTTACATTCAAATGGTGACTGGCATTAAATAAATATATTTTCAAAAATGTAGAATATATGATAGGTCAGACACTATTAATTTTTTTCCGAAATTAATAAAGTTTTTTGGCTCTGTGAAAATTGAATATATTAAAAATATTTATATATATATATATATTAACTAACAGAACTGTGTGCTAAGAACCTTCAAAAGATTAAATCTTTTCATTTCCTATCGTTAGATGAAACGCACCTTATCTCAGAATATCTTAGTTTGTGGCGTGTAATTATTGCTATGATGGGAGTGGTGCAGGGCAGAGCTGAACTGCGACATTTAATGATTGCATAGGTCAGCATAGTCATTGTTCACATAACTTTTGCTTTTATGTTTGTAACGACTCTATGGCGCTTTAAAAGTACTTTTAAGTTTTTTAATCTTCACTCACACTCACTCACTCCGAGACCGATATTTTTTAATTATGAAAGTATTGGAATCAATTATGCAAGTTACGAAGAGAGTGTAGGAATTGATAAGGTCCTTAAGTTAATTTGACTTTAATTCAAAAAGTACGTACACAGACGGTACGAGCTTATTAAAGGCAATACAGATGCTATTTAGTTGTATTTTATTATAGTTAAATATTTAAAATTGCATAATGGTAACTCACTTATAGTATTCAGATCATACGCACTACACAAATATTGTGAATGCTCTGTGTGTAACACGTGTGTGTGTATTCCCATTACTTTTGTTAACAGCTTTTCGTTTTGTTTAGTTTAAAATAAATACATACCAGTGCAGGGGAGTCCAAAGGCCCCGCAGTCCTGGATCGTGTTGTTCTTCTTTCACTCTCTCTTTCCGTCCTTTGGTGGTCACTCTCTCGTTCTGAAGACGTATGCCGTCTTCTTTCATCTTTGTATCTCCTTTCTTCTTTAAGTGTTCTGCCAAATCTAATGCAATGTATATTAATTTAAGTAATTATTGAATTTTAGTAATTGGTTCAAGCATAAATTGTGTTTATACCTTTCCTCAACATCTGTGTTCTTATAACTCTCCTCTCTTTTCTTCTCGTCACGCGGGTACCTATCTAGATCTTCTCGGGAGTGCCTATATTTTCTATCTTCTCGGTAGTCTTTTTTTCTTACTTCAGTGTCACTGGGTTCCGGATCTGTGTACCTAAAAGTTATAATTATTAGGTCCTTACATATGAAATTGGCGTTTTTCGTACTGGTCACTTTAATCACGATGTTCTCCTCTTTGGTAAGGAATTTCAATTTCAAATTTGTACAGCTATTTACTCATGTATTTATGCTTCGATGACCGTCATTCATTTGTTTTTTTCTTCTGTTTTTTTCTGTTCGTGTCACTCATTTTACAAAATGGAAAACTTAAAGTATCGCATTATTTACGAGTACGAGTTCCGCCGTGGCACTAGTGCTGCGGAAACGACTCGAAGGGTGAATGATGTGTATGGCGGTCATGTTGCAAAAGAAAACACAGTTCGTTTTTGGTTCCAACGTTTTCGATCTGGAAATTTCGACCTGCAGAACAAGCCCCGTGGACGGCCTGAAACCCAAGTTGATAATGAAGTATTAAATGCTATTGTGGAAGCGGATCCATCGCAAACCACGTCTGAGTTAGCTGCAGGCTGCGGTGTAAGTGATAAAACACTTTTAATTCACTTGAAGCAAATTGGGAAGATTATAAAGCTTGAAAGATGGGTACCTCACGAATTGACTGAAGCAAACCGGCAAACGCGCGTCGACTGCTGCGTTACATTACTGAACCGGCACAATAATGAAGGTATTTTAAACTGAATCATTACCTGTGATGAAAAATGGATTCTTTACGATAATCGGAAGCGCTCAGCGCAATGGTTGGATCCTGGCCAGCCAGCCAAATCCTGCCCCAAGCGAAAATTAACCCCAAAAAAGTTACTTGTAAGCGTTTGGTGGACTAGTGCTGGTATTGTTTATTGCAGTTTTCTCAAATCTGGCCAGACTATTACGGCTGATGTCTATTGTCTATTGTCAGCAATTGCAAACCATGATGGAAAAGCTAGCGGCTAAACAACCTAGGCTGGTCAATCGCTCCACGCCACTGCTACTTCACGACAACGCTAGACCAGACACTGCACAACAGACGGCTACCGAATTAGAAGAGCTTCAATTGGAATGTCTAAGACATCCTCCGTACTCCCCGGACCTTGCTCCAACAGATTACCATTTTTTTCGAAATTTGGACAACTTCTTGCAAGGGAAAAAATTTAACTCTGATGGGGCAGTCCAAATCGCCTTCACAGATTTTATTGATTCCCGTCCGACTGGTTTTTTTAGTAAAGGGATCAATGAACTACCTATGAGATGGCAAAAGTGCATAGAAAACAATGGTTCATACTTTGATTAATTAAATATATTATGTTTAAAAATATTCGACTTTTTGTTCCGCCCATACAAAACGCCAATTTCATATGTAAGGACCTAATATTAATTTTTGTCAGAAAAATAGCAATCTTTATCTGTGGTTTTCCTTAATTCTTAAAACATTAATTTATTTCTTTATTCAATTGATTCGATCTTTCAATAGTTCAAAAGATAGATGAGTTCTTTAGTTCAACCTGTGCTAATAAAAATAAGGAAGTAAGTATACCTATACGAACAAAATTTTTACAGGTAGCTTAAGTGACGTACCTTCTATAGTCTGAATCATGTCTGGCAAGATGTTCAGGGCTCTTGAGCACCCGCGTGCGAGGTTTCTGGACTAATTCCTTTTCTTTCTCTTTCTTTCTTGCTCTTCTTTGAAGAGTCGCGAGAGAATAGCTGTTTAACCTATAATGCAATTAATATTAAGATAAAGGATTATATTCAATTTAAGCGTAACAAAATTGTATCTAAAAATCATAACCTTCTCAAGTCCCGAAAGTTTTTTCACCTTTGGCGGTTTCGCACTAGTTTTGTCATCGTGTTTAGGACTTTTATCGTACCTCGCTGGTTTTGGATCAAATTGCGAATCGTCATCTTTTCCTTCCACTGCATATCTTCTATCATTTTTATAATATTTGCATTTTGACAAATAGTCACTGTTTGCATATATCTGTTCTCCTGGATAGTTGTCTTCAGCAAACTGTCTCTCACTAGCTAAAAAGAGCGATGTATTGCGGACATCATCATCGCTCTCATGTATCCTACGTCTCGATTTATGAATTTCCCCGCTAGAGTTTAGCCTAAAATCATTTTCGATACCAGAATCAACCAATCTGCTATCGAAATCATTTCGCCGCGGCGATAATTGTTCACGATAGTAATCTCTACTGTCACCAGAATCGTGTCGTCTGACACTATTATAATTCGTAGTATCTTTGTTTTTTACTCGACGTAGTGAGTTATGAAAGCTTTCTTGTTTTGGATTATATCTTAGATTTGCATATTCATCTTCACGCTCTTGGGCTATTTCAGGGTTAGATGAATAATGACCTTTTCTTTTTCCGAACCAATCGTCTTTAACTTTATATTTCTGACCAGAATGTAAATGTTCGTGACTAGAATTGAATGGTTTTTTAACTTTGTACTTTTTCTCTTTATATTCAAGCGGTGATACTGGCTTACCAGGATTAGACTCTAAGCTTGGAGGCTCATATTCAGGTTCTGGTGGAAAAACTTTCTTCTCGTCTTTCAGCCTTTTCGGCTTCTCCAAGCTATCTATAAATTCACGTCTATCCAATTCTTCTTTAGTTGTTTTATGATAAGATCTTGATGCTGTATTGTGCTTTACTTGACTGTCGGTGTCAAATTTATAATCTGTTACATTGTTCTCAAACCCTTCTCTCTCTAAAGTATGACGATAGTACTTTACTGTGTCATTTACGTACTTTTCTGTTTGTTTCATACGTTTCTCGGCTTCATAGATAGGATCTGGTTCGATCAAGTAACGCAGCACAGGTTCATCTGCAGGAAGTAATCGTCCTCGTTCTTGTTTACGGGCATTTAAACGAGACTCCAGTAACTGTCGCCTGTGACTTAACTCGTTGAAATCTAAATCTATTTTTGTATCCGTTTCAAAGGGCTTTTTTGGTTTGGTATCCATGCCATCTGCTCTTCCTCTAAAGGTATTTATAGGGTCGCGTAATGTTTCTTTTTTGAAATCCTCGTTAGCGTAGGTAGGCTCATCATCAAAACTCGTTAATTTATATTCACTGAATCGAGATATAATGGGCGACTTTTTAATATTAAATCCATCGATGCTGTCAAAATTATTTTCTCTTTTATAGTCATAATCAAGAATATTATCTCCAAACTTATTATTGTACTTGTATCTATCTTCATATCCTAAACCTTCGTCCTCATCTGAAAAATTACCTAATTTATCTCGTGGAGGAGAGTACGTCTTATACATTGTTTGTTTAGGAAAATTTAAACGCAAATCATCGTGGTCTTTGATGACCTTTGCATAAACGACACCTTTGTCGACCATTTTATTAACTGGGGTTGAAGTCCTCTCTGGACTTGCTGTTCTAACAAAAAGATTGGGATCTGGACTTGTACTAGGTTTTGTATAAGAAAATGGCTGATTGACGTTACTCCCGTGAGTAGGTGAAATTAAATGTGACTTTGGTGGAGGGGACTGTTGATCTTCTTTGAGAATTCTAACCATATGATCTACAGTATGCCCTCTAGTTAATGGGGGTTTTTTAGGTGGCTGTTGACTACTATGTATCATATCCTTAGTTCCATAGACGTTTTCCTCAATCTTTCTAATGCTGTCTTTTATTTTGTCTTTAAAATTAACAATTTCTTTCTCTTTCAACAATTCTATATTGTTAGCAAGATTATTTTTTTTTACCTCTAATGAACGTTTTGGAGTTTCACTGATTGGGGGTGACGATTCTTTTTCTATTTCACTAGACTTTTCACGCTTTGTCCTTGAGGGGGGTTTCGGTTCTTGATAGTCTTGAGCCTTATGCCTGGGTGGCTTCTCAATAGGATTTACTTTTGTTATACCTTTTATAGAGTGTTCCGATTCAGAATTGCAAGTTTCTGTTTCAGTGAGCTGTTTTTTTTGGAATACATCTAAAGGTGATACCTTTTTAAAGTAATCTTCTCTAGGAGAACTTTCAATTATAGGGGATAGTTGAGTCTTTTTATTTCTTAGAGACTTAAGGAACTCTTCGGTTTCACTGCCAGATCTTTTTCGTTGGGGTTTATTTTTTGTTAACGTTGTATTAGACTTTAAATCAGACACATCACTTTTACTTCTTTTCACAACAACTATTGGTTTTGTTTTGACAACTACAGGTGTATCCGGGCTTTTTGTTCTTTGACCTCGCCTGAATAGCGTAGAAAGTGAAGTACGTTCTTTTCTCTTTTTTGAAGTTACATCACTTGAGGACCGACCCAGTGGTGTTTTAACGATACCATCTGCAGATGTTGCGTCGTCACTATTTCTTCTTCCAGATCTGTCTTCTTTGTATTTCCTTCTGTGTGGTAATGAAAAGAACTTTTCTGGAGGATTATCTGCTGTACAAGTTACACTTTGAGCTTGCGCTATAACTTTATTGGCCTCTTCTATCAATTCCTTTTCAGATAAGTGGGTAAATGGCTCTTTTCGTATACTTGGTGCTGCTTCTATAGAACTCCGCTCACGTGGTTTACCTGCAAGGAAATAAGATGGTAGTGTTACTACATTTATCAGGAAATAGTCAAGTAGGAGTAATATACCAAGGTATCAAAAACGTTATGGCGTTATAACCATTGAGAAGATATGGTTAACTAGATGCTCAAAATTTAGGTTGGACAAGGTGCTGTTAAACACAAGACATTAAAAGCATTTGAAATTCATTAGATTGTTAATAACTAAACGGGTTAAAATATTATTAAGTGTGATATTATCGAACAGGTTTTGTAGATTAGTCTGAAGTCTACGTAATAATTGTTATTAGAAGTCAGCTTCGAGCTCACAACTAGGAAACACTTGTATTAAAAGCCTATACGGATTGAATAAGTCTACAAATATAGGAATAGGTGAGAGATTTCATAAATTAAAACTTTATAGATAACAACATTAACATTTTTACTGATTTGAAGGACTTTTAGATGAAAAAAAAACTAATATATTTTAGTCAAGAACCGCAATACGAATAATAGAGTTATAGACACAGTTGCTAAGTTCTAGCTATCGAATTAAATTAATTTGACGTACATGATATTATTATGCTTAGGTCACTCCACGCATTAATCAAGACGTCAAAACAAGTGTTTTTGCGTTACTTCCAACGATGATACTTGGATTTAGTTTGAATTATACTTTTTGCGACATTATGCCTTTTTGATTGACTTTATCAAGGTCAGTTAAGTCATATGTCAAAGTCTAACGTCGACATTCGTAGCAAAATTATTTTAGCTCGCACAAGCCCAATAAGGGGCCCAGACATACGACAAATCTGGAAACTGTTTCCTCCTTTGAACTCCGATAAGCGTTATTGAACTAAGAGTATCCGTTGGCATTTCACGGGTTTGAGCGCAAATTTAAGAAATGCGGGTAAATTATGAAGAAAAAAAAATCAGTCTCCGATGGGTTGGGGTCAAATCAAGTGGTCATGGCGGATACCGTGAAATGCGTTTTTCGCGGTAATAGAATAAATATTTAAGGTATTATGTCCGCTTACGAAACTGATAAGCTACAAGGTCCTCAAAATTGTTTAGGTCAACAATTGCAAAGTTCCTACTGTCAAGAGGTTGATTTCTAAGTTACCGTCGGTAACGTTCTTTAAAGAATAAATTGGTTTTAAATCGACTTTAATAATAATATGTACCTAAAATTATCAAAGTTAGTTCAGCATCTTGTAACTCATGGTAAATACTCTTTATTAATTCAGTAAAACTGAAACTGTAGAACAATAATATTAATAAAAAAATGAAAATCAAATAAATCAGACTTAGAGAATAAAGAAATTAGCATTCTTTAATATTTTTACTAGCTGTGCATTAGTAATACAATACAGATTTTTCACTTCAAATTACATTGGATATCAAACTTAATATCATGATTTTTTTTAATTACATGACGTGGAACCGGTCAATATAGTTATAATTTTGCCAATAATATTGAAATGTGAAAAGTTATGTGTATATTTGAACTTCTGAAACTACCGCTACTTACAAGTATTATAAATAATAGTAGTAAATAAAAGTAGCATACTCATGACCAATTAAGGCTGTATGCGAAACATACAAAGTTTCATCTCAATGGTTCAGGATGTTTGATTTCAAATCTCGTGATATGCCATTTTTGTCAGCCAAAAGACACATCGCAACCCAATTTTTTTTAGAATAGTGAGTGCACCGTGCGTACAGCGTATATTTTTTGCGTACACGGCCAGGCTCAATAGATATAACTTGTGTCGAGTTGGCCGGAAGATCATTCTTATTATATCTTGAATATCGGCCTGTCTCTGAACGGCTGGTTTTTTTTAAAATACTTGAAATACTGACTTGTATAACCCGGGCGTATTAGTAAAATCTTTCCTCTTCAAATGTTTGGTTAAAACACTGTTTCAATATCCTTAAAGGTGAATGAACATTACAGATAAATGATTTCATATTTATTTTGGCGTTGTTCAACGATTGACTCAGTGAGTAATATAATATGTAGGTGTATTTAAAATATCATTTGAGTTAGTATCGAGAGACTTAATTCGCCGCTAGGATGAAGGCATCACGTTGGTCAAAATATTTACAATAGTCTTAACCTACATAGAAATAATAATGAGATAAATTAGAAAACTAAAAGAAAATTAAAAAGGTTGGTCCCCGTCTACCTTTTTAGCTGGCGTTTCCTCGCTGTATTGCGATACTTATAAGAGCAAGGAAAGCACCAGCTCCGGGGTTGCCGGTACTATCTACCAGACTTAAATCTTTAATTAGCACCTCTTCACTTGAAGTCCGCAAGAGTCCAAGAATCTCTACTCCAAAGGGAACAAATCAAAGTTTCGTACCGACTGGAGGATCGTAAACTAATTGTAATGATTGTACTATCAGAACAAAACATATTTTAAGGTAAAATAAAAAAATTATAATCGGTCCAGTGTTTTTCCCTTTAATTTACTAGTAGGTCTTGGTCTTTGATCCTGGAGAAATAATCGCGATTGATAAGCACAAAATGCTATATTTCTACTTGCCTACTAAAAACACAAACAGGCACGTCACACAATTCTTCTTCTTTTTTGGAGCCTCTACATTAATGTAGGTGGTCCGTCAGTCTCGTGAGGCATATCTTGTCCTGTGCCAGATGCAGCAACTCTTCCAGAGTCGCAATACCCGTCCTAACGTTGTGAACCCATGATATTTTCCTTCTAGCAACACGCCGTTAAAAGACTCAATAAAAATGCATAATTTTTATCTCAGGCAATTTTAATTTTTATGTCACCATTAAGTGCTAAATCAAAATAAATTAGGTTTCGAAGATGTCAAATAAATTCACTTCGGCGAAGCTTCAAAGCGCCAAAAATGCTTAACGAAATTGCAATTTTATCCTTCAAATGGTCTAAACACTAAATTGAATTTTATGACGTGAATAATGTTGCCGAAAATATCGACAATTCACTGGCTTCGTCAGTGTTGACGAAAAGATAATTTGAATTAACACGTTGAATATAACAAACTTATGATTCTGAGAAAACAAGGAACTTAGTTTCTTTTGAGGGAACAGGGTCTCACTCTATTTATTATACTAAAATGTATTTAAATTGCAAAAAAAAAAACGCTTTTATATCATTATTAGCTAAATAGATAGCTTTATTTTTTTGTACCATTGATGGTGCGATAAAGAATGAACTACAGAATATGCAATATTTTTAAAATAGGAATGATGATATTTATTGACAAGTGCAAACCACAGACGTACATAATCTCTATCGCGTCAATGGTACAAAAAACAGAAATAAAAATCGAATTGTTTACTGTTCAAATACATTTTAGTATAAGTAGTTGAGACCCTGATAACAATGTCTAACAAGGCTATACGACTAAAGTTAATATTTTATTAAAATATTGTAATCTTGTCTCTATAAGTGTAGTACAAAAAAAAAAAAATGGGGGGTTTTAAAAAGAAAAATTTTACATAAAGATTGTTAAGCCAAAAGCTATTATAAAGTAATAGATCTATAACATATAACGTATTTTATTAAGGAAAAAGCGATGTCCTTGCGCGTGAACACATCACTTGAACAAACATAGACGCGAGAAGTGATGACGTCACGAGCTACTGTTTTCTTTGTGGTCAATTCAAGATATGTGTTGCTAGCAGCTTTCTGCAGCATATGCAGTAAGTAAATCCGAAAGTTTACTGATGAGGGCACGGCTAAAATTTTGTACCAAAGCTATTTCATAGCGTTATGTCGTACGGCATTTTACTGTGGGTGCTGCTGCAGAGGTTCAATCCATATTTGGGTGGGGAAGCGGGCTGTTCGGGGTATTTGTTGTGTTTCTCCGAGGGGAGTCGGTACGGAATAAGTTTAAGGGAATTAAATATTATGACACTATCTGGTCAATATATTCTTGAAGCCTTGTTGTAACGCAAAAATATAAACGATTTTTAAAACAAATGGTACTTTCACCAGTAAATACCGAATAAGAACTAATTTGAGGTGTACGACCAACCAGGCTCCAAAAGAAAGCGGGACTCCTTATATGGAAATGTAATCCTTCTTTTACAACAAGCGGCCCAAGCGAAATTAGAGAATTACACTAAATAAATTCAAGCCCTCGTTAAACGAAAATTAATCAACAAACTTATAAATTTGAGGACTACTTAAATGATCCTAATCCTTGCGATGAAGTGGCTCCAGTTCAAACAATTTGTATGACGATACTTGGCGATTAAAAAGAGTGGCGGAAAGTTTCTTGCCAGTTCTTTTACCCCTCTAGCCCTTGACTTGCGAACTGGTAGTAAATGTAAATTTACGATTAATTTAACTTGAGTTCAAAAGTGTTTGGACCAAGATAAAGATATTTTGGTTGGTTTGCTTTAGTTCGAGCGATGGGCGAGCTGTTTATTGAGCGAATCAACTAACGAATGTTTTTATCAATAAAACTAATTTCTCGTGTATATTTAAAATCTGCGTAATCTTTGATTGGTCAGTCTTATATGAAACTACGTTTTAAAATATCGGTAGATAATATTAAGTTTAGTGCTTTACCTATTTATTTTAATTGTAACCACAAATTGTCATAAATCTTAACAAATATAATGTCGTGGAAACAGCTGCCCACTGAAGTATTTACCAATTCGACTTAGAGTGTCCTTCAAAGAGCGAACCAATTCTTAAAAGGCCGGCAACGTACTCGCGAGCCCTCTGGCATTGAGAGTGTCAATGAGCGGTATAACTTAACATCATGTGAGCCTGTCCGTTTGCAAATAAAAACTTGGTACTAAAAACCTCGTTAATTTTCATAAGAATGTATTTCCAATAAGCATCCACCGGATAACCAATTACTCGCTGTCATAGCAGGCACACGCGCTTCCTACATCTTCCTCATACAACGAGTACGTTGTTGTAGGCGCTAATTAGACTTCAGCTTAGTGGGCTGGGCCTTGACAGCTTCCGTTAACATCTCCAGTGAATCAAGCCTTTAAATTGTATGAGCTTTGTCAA